AAAATTATCCCTAACAAACCCAATATTTTGATACTACATATTTTTAATATAAGAATTAGATAACTAATTTGAATATATTAATAAAATTAATTAGTTACTTATTTATAATAAATTGATTTATCTTGTCTAAAATATTTTTGTTAATCATGTGTATTAAAACTACCCATTAATAAAAATTTCTTAATATGTATGATCATTACAGGTAACTTGAGAACAAAATAAATCAATATTTTATAATTTCACAAATAAAATATTTTTATTTTATCATAATAATTTTAGGTATTTTTTTTTACAATTATCATATTAAAAACATAAAATATCAAACATTACTATTTAATAAAGTCCATGCCCTTTTCAGTCATTTAAACTACTCACTTTTCTATTAATCATCCAAACAATTTTTAACTTTTCAACTGACTTTTTAAAAGCCCTATCTAAACATACCCTAACCGACTTTTATTCTAACTTTAGTTACAAAAGTCAGTTAGGTTAGAAGTCAATTTTACCCAACGCCAATCCAAACATACCCTTTAACTTCCCAAAGCTACTTGCTCAGCAAGTTTTAGAGTTTAGCTTTCATACAACCCGCCTTATTTAAACTCACTCCACTCCTATATATCACATGCAAATAACTGAATTATTTAGATCAAAAAATTGATTAAACTTGGTTAAAAAATAATAAATGGATCACAAATCTATTTGAATTCAAAATATATCCCTTATCTATGGAGGGTCAAAGGAGAAAGAGAATGACTGGAAAAAAAATATGGGAGAGAGTGTATAGGAAAAAGAAAGAAATAAGAGAAAGAGAGTCTCCCACAGAGTGAATAATTCTTGACCAACATATGATAATTAATGCAGAAACGTGTAATCAATAAGGATAATAAAATGAAAAAGGTGGATTAAATTTTTAGGTACCATATCATCGAAGTGTAACGTACAAAAAAGATTAGCTCTATTCCAAAATTTGTACTCCCTCGGTTGATTTTTATATGATCCTGTAATTTGAATTGGTTTGGTCTTTTTCACACTATCTTATTTAGGGGAGTTTGAATATTAAATATATTTTTATCAATTTTATCATTAATTAATTTTTTATTCTTTCCATTCATCTTTTTCTACTAAATTTTCTTTCACCCTTTGTATCAGTAATAGTATAGTATTTCTCTCTTATTTGCTCCTTTTTAAATAGAGGCATATTTGAAGAAAAAATTTTAATTTTGGTATATTTATTGTTTTTTAATTTTAACTATTTCTTTAAACTGTGTAATTTGATTAGAAAGATCCTATAAAAATGACCAGAGGAAGTAACTTAATAGTCTTATATATAGGACTATACTAGTGGAGCACCATATACTATTTTAAAAGAGTGTTTTTACGTTTTAATAATAAAAAATAACTCTCTTGCTTTTCTATTTTAAAAGAATTGATTGATATTTGATTAAATAAAATTCGTACCTCAGTTATACATTATTTTTTAGTAATTATAGAAATTTGAAGGGTTTAATCACAAAGGAGATATTTTATTTTTGCCTGCAATCGTAAATCTACAAAGAAGATATGTTTATCGAAGAGCATCAATTGACTTGATCGCACTATCACGTTTTTATGGAAAAATTTTGCTGCAGACCTCTGCAGTGTATTCTTTTTCAATTTGTCATTGCTCGAACTATTCTTTGCCAAGATTTCGTCTTTTTTTTTTTTTTGAAATGATTCAAGACCATAATATCAATCTGGTTGGTATATAAAAGGAGAAATATGTCATTTTGAATACACAAAATGATATGTATATATAATATTATTAACCTGTCGTTAACTTAATTATTATTGTTTAACATTATCAATTTTTTTTTTTATTTGGAGGTATATATTTTATTTTCCATTTTCACATCTAATAATATTCCGTAAACAATCGACAGATTTTTTTGTCAGTAGTTTATACTAATGAACAAGTTAACCGAGGAAACAAAAAATAAACAAAGAAATCCCTTTTACTCATAAAAAATTATACCTCATTGATATATAAAAACTTGAAAGGGAAGGTCAGCACATACAACAGACTCAGGTCTAAAATTAAATACAACAGATAGCTCCAGGCCAAATCCTTGTCTCTAACATATGGCTAAAACAAAACCCTCCTCACGTGTTTGCCTCCATACAATAACATCACGCAGATCCAAACCTCAAATCTCACAAGAACACTGAAAAAAGTACACATCACCATAATTCTTTTTACTCTAAACATAAATAGTTTTCCTTTCTTGATGCGTGCGAATGCATATCTGATATATGCTATTTACCATTTCCAGTTACTCTCTAGCTCATCCAAACTCGAAGGGGACCGCAGTAATGAACTGACATCAAATTCTTCTTCTGACTCATCATGTGGCATCTCAACGCTTGGATTCACTTCACTAGGCCGTGTCTGAATCAATGAGCCTGCAAACTCATTTGACTCCCCAGCTGTTTGAATCAGTGAATCCATATCTGAGGGATAGTACTGTACCTAAGTCATATATCAATCAAATTTTAGTTCTCTCACTCTAGTTCGCATCCTACAGCATCATATATAAACAATATATCCATCAGTGGCTCAAGAATTTGTGTGCTTACTTCTGGAGTCACACGCAAACTTGCTTGATTTTCATACTCAACAACTATACGGTTATTTGGCCCCTGTTCCTCATGAACTAGTTCATTGGATTTTTCTTTTGGTTTCTTCTCAGTTTTCTTCAGTAACCTACATATAACATAGGCTCTCTGCAACATGGAAGAATAATCAAGCATTACTTTGTCACAATCAGATCATAGATCCCAATATAAACGTTAAAGTAAGAAATCGCCAGAAAAACAACTAATCATAGTTGTAAGGCAGTTTTAAACCATAAAATTCATGTCGTAACCACTTTGGCTGCTTCATAAGCGCAGAACTGGGAGAACTTTGTACTGCATATACTCTCCAATTCTTGAAGTTCAATATCTATACACACATAAATGATAAACTTTCTAAACCCCTAGCTCGAAGCTTACCTGATTGGGAGGGAAGAGGGCATCATGACATTCACGAATAACCCAATTATCTTTAATGCCGGGAGCACGTCCTCGGTAGAAAACTAGTGTCCTTTTGGTCCCAATGACATTGTTGGTGACTCGATCCTTGATTTTCCTCTCTTGACCGGTGGGTTTCCAGTAACCACGTGATGTTGTCCTATTACACAGAGTACGGTTTGAGTACTTGTAATCGCGAGGACTGATGAAAAACCATTCCGAGTCCGCCGACTTGATCAGCGATAATGCTGAAACAGCACAGCACAAGATGATTGAGGTACGAACAATTTAAAAAAAAAAAAAAAACTGCAGATTGATATTGGTGTGAAGAAGAAGAAGATTATGATACCTGGTAAGTCCCATGGTTCGTACTTGCAAATCTCAATCTCAGGGATGATGTTGTGGATGGAAGGATCATCAGCCATCAGTTTGTGGTAGAGGTAATGACCAACGAGTTCTTCATCTCTCGGACGGAATCTGAAACCCTTAGGCATCAGTATCAGATTGGTCCACCATGGTTGGCTCTCAACCATAATCTGATAAGCTTATGAAATGACGAGCTGAGACTTTGATGAAGACGAAGTGCAGAGAGAGAGAGAGAGTACCACTAGCGGCGTTGTTACTTTGTTTTGAAGCAACAATAATAGAGGAGGAGAGACTTGAAAAAAGCATAAGTCATAGCTGCCTTTAAATAGGGCCAACAAATGGGTAATGAAAATTAAATCAAAATGATGAGGTAGGCGTATATGTTTCTATTTTCTAGCTGTATGTCAATTATTTGTTGTTATTATTATTATGTTTTTTAACGAAGACATACAAGCATGAACACATTATAGGGTTAAATAAATGAAATATCATGGACATTTTAATTTATGGCGTAATGAATAATCCTAGAAGCTTCATGGTGAGTTCATGTACAACTCGTAAGTAGGTGGAAATGCGTGCAAGTGGGGGGTTACTATTGTTACTGGGGATAACCGATAACATCATGCATGCAAAGAAAGATTGGGTGGGAGGACTTATAATGTTTGGACACGTAGGGAAGCGTGAGACCCACCAACTCACCGTGTACGCAGGGGTTTAGGCCCGGCGCGTAAGCCAAGGAAAAAGAGAAGGCAAATTCCTCTCTTTTTCTGAGTTGAAGGCTTCCTCCTCCTTTTAATTTTCTCAATTGCAACTTTTTCTTTTTCTCTTTGTTTCCATCCCATTCCGTTACGAGTCTCAATCATATTTCTTTCCTTCAATCCTCATCATCATCAAATCTCACGCGTTTTTCTCTGCATAGCATAATTTGCAGGATCGATCGGTCATATTCTTTTATGAAAACCGAAGCATCTATCTGTGATTTGTCTTAATCTTTGTGTAACAAATTAATGAAGTTTTCCGTGTCTTATTCCAACATATGTGCTTTTGCTCTTCTTCCTTACAATTACAAACACCATTTTTGGACGAGCTTCTGTAAAATGCAGCATCTGTCGAGGCATTTTTCTAAGATGACGTGTAAATTCAATTGACCTTGCAAGGCTTTGTCTGACTAAACGGTACAGTTTTTCTTAAAAGAAGACGAACAATGTCCAATCATTTTTAGAAATTGCCGAAATTCTATTGTTAAATATGGGTCCAGATTCCTTCAAAAAATAGATTAGGCTACTTGCTTCAGTATTAATACTATTCTCGGCAAGATTTAAACAAGGGAAAATTTCAATCTAGGACTGCTATAGCAAATTTATTTCAGTTAACCCCCAAAACAATCTGAAACTTCACTGTAGGGCCTAGGGGGAAAGTGAAATTAATTGGACAAAGAAAAAGACGCAAATGTCCTTGTTAACTTTGCTGCTGAAACTGATGAACAGAAAAGGACCGAAAATCAGAAAAAACTTTCATCCTACTCTTCCCTCTCTCACATTGAAATCTCTCTTGCATGCTCTTTCCTTTCACATCTGAAAACTCACCATCCGTCTACTGGTTGTGGCACTCTGAAAAGTCACAGAAATCGTCCAAAGGAGATTCATCATCGTTTGTTGTACTGGTTCTCTCACTCTCAAAACCTGTATATGAATCTGTTATTACGCTTGAATGTATATGTTATTTGTCGAATATGAAAAGTCTCTGTTCTATAAGATACTTGATTATTGTTTGTTATAGTAATAGTGGGTATTTTGTCTAGCACATTTGTAAGTCTGAGAATCCCGTTACTTGAATGAGTGCTGTGAAAGCAAATCTGTAGAAAAATAGTAATTTGATGTTGCTAAAATATGTATTTGTATTATAAATTTGCAAATTCAAGTTGTCTAGGAAAATGGCAATTCGTGTTGTGAAAACTTGTATATCTCTTGCTAATTCACAAATTTCTATTGTAAACATATACAATTAGGATATTAACAACAATTAGTGACTTTTTAACATGATGTTCTAGAATTTTTCCTGTCATAGGCAAGGATGGTGTAGGAGCGTAGAGCATGACAAGTGGAGAAACACCTGAACCAAGTTCTGGAATATGAAGTCAGTTGCTATTACAAAACTACTTCAACAGATAAAGACACAACCGAAAGAAAGTGATGACATCACAAATTGTTAAATTTTCTATTTGACATGTAATTTAAACTATTTGGAATTATGTTAAAGTTGTGAATAGAGAATTTGAACAATTTTCTTTTTAGAGAATATATATTATGAGTATGTTGCAAGTTAATTAACTGTAATTTTTAGTCTCTTCCTACCAACTTACAAGTATATGATGTATTATTCACAACTGAAATTAGAAAATATACAACAAGGATAAGTTGATTTGTTAGAGAAACTCGTCTATTTGCAAATGAGCTCATATAACTAAAAAGTTGACCATGATAATATAACAAGTCTGGAGAGATTATTTACAAGTGAAATTAGGAAATTTCTAACACGGATATACACATTAACAACAAGAACTCGTCTATTTGAAAATAAACTAATCTGATTAAAAAAGTCAAACATGTTGATTCACAAGTCTGGGAGGACTTATTTGAACTGAAATTATAAAATTTGCAACATGCATACATATATTAACAATAACAATATGTCCATTCATAAGTGGTAGTTGAATTGAAGAAGCTGAATATGATTCACAACTCTGAGAAAGCCTATTTGCAACTGGAATTAGGAAATTCACAACACGCATATGTATATTAACAACATGTCTATTTGCAAGCGAGCTAGTTGAATTGAAGAAGTTGAACAATTCACAAGTTTGGGAGGATTTATTTGCGACTGAAATTAGGGAATTTGCAATAAAAATACATATATTAATGACAAGAACACGGCCATTTGCAAGTGAACTAATTAAATTGACAAATCGATCACGAGTTTAGGAGCGAGTGTTCATTCATAACTGCAAATAGAGAATTTGCAACAAAAATATGTATATTAACAATAATAATACGTCCATTTGCAAGTGAGCTAGTTGAATTGACAAGTGGAACATAAGTCTAGGAGTGAGCATTCATTGACAACCAGAATAAGGAAATTTGTAATAAGAATACGTGTGTTACAACCAGTTACATCTCTTCCATTCACAAGTAGAGTATTTAAAATAAAAAGTCTATGCACAAGTCTAGATGTTTCATTCATAATTGGAATTAGGCAATTTACAATAGAGATACATGTATTAACATAAATACATCCATTCGTAAGTGGACAAAGTTTTTCATGCATTTACATTGTTGTCAACCAATTTTAGTGTAGTGGTGGGGATAGCTTATTGTTTAGTACCATCATGACATTTTTCAACTATCACATTATTATACAATATAGATTCTAATCCACCACCAAAAATATTAAGTGGGTTGTCATAGCTACTTTCCCAACCAATCTAAAAATACATATTGAGATTCATTCATGTGCAAAAGCGGCTCTATATTGAACTAGAAAAGACTATTTTCAGCAATAAAATCACGTAGGGTTCAGGGACAAGTTTTTCTAGTATGAATAGCTTCACCACATCCTGAGCAATGATACACTTTCTTCTGCTAGAATTGTGATTCAATCCTCCTAGTTCTAAGCCTTCCAAGATAGCGAGTAGTCAATGGTGGTTGCAAATTCTTAACAAATTCACCTCCCACATAGGAGATGCAAATTAATTGTTTTCCACTACTGCTAACCTTTTGTTATCTATAGCTACACATCATTCAAGTATCAATTTCAATCAACTTTCAATAATTAAACACAATATATATTTACAACAGAAATTTGTGAATTAGCAAGAGATATACAAGTTTTCACAACACGAATTGTCATTTTCCTAAACAACACGAATTGTCATAACATTTTAATCACACGATAGGACATCAGATGACATGGCACCATTAGACAATCAAAAGAGCTATAGAATCTTCATTACCACAAGCATCTTATCAAGATAAAAGTTCTAAAACTCATGCCCTAGAAGAATATGGGCCTTCAAACTTAAGGTGCTATGTGTCACTAATACAAATAAAGTCATTTTCGTCACCCATTTTCATCTGTTTTGAAAAATAGAAGAATATGGGCCTTCAAACTTGTCTGTTAAAAAGAAACATAAGAGTATGGACTCCCCATGCTTGTCTGTTTTTCTTAAAAGCAGACGAACAACGTCTTTTTTTAATTCAAATTTCATTTTTGCCACACACAGATTTAAACGTACCCTAGCATATACACCTCCTCCTTCCTTCTTCTCTTTTCTTCATATGCGGTGCGCTCTCTCTCTCTTGTTCAGACTTCTACTTCTCCCCCTCCAGTGCCGATGTTGACAACCAAGTTTGCCTTCTCCCTCTCTAGTAGCTCGTTGTCTTCTTCTCCCTCTCTTTCCCCTTCTTTTCCCTTTCTTCCCCATTCTTCTTCTCCTTCTCTTTCCCATTCTTCATCCATTCTATCCCACGACCAGGAGCAACGTTTTCTTTCATGAAAGTCGCTATTCTTGTCCAGCTTGAGCTTGTTCACAACACAAGGTAAGAGGGACGGGGGTGTGTCTCTTATATTATGTGAGTTTTTGGATATTGAAATGAATGAATATAAGTGTCTGTGGGCATGTATGTTTTTTATTTAAATTGATTGTTGGTAAGAGTTGCATTTAGGAATTATTCAACATCGATTGGGTTACATTTTGATGATTAAAAAGCTTGCTAAACTTGTTTAAACCTTAACACACATAAGGTGTTTGTGAAAATGTCTAAGAGAACGATTTTTTTTTTGGGTTTACAAAAGTTTAGGTGAGTTGGATCCGGGGGGCTCACTAGGGCTAAAGCATGCCTCCAGGCTCCGAGAGCGCTTACAAAGGTACTTACAAATCGCCCACCAACAAGGTCCTCACATCAGCAGCGAGATTCGAACTCAAGACCTTGTGGGTTATGAGTCGACTCCTTACCAACTGGATCAACTCTTATTGATGTCTAAGAGAATAATTTGATTGGAATATAATAGTTAACTCAATATTTAATCTTCATATTAAATTTTAGAAAGCTTGAGATGCTATTTAAACATATATGTGTATTTAGATTTATTTTTATTACTTTGTAAGTGGATAGTGTTAGGAGAAATGTGCTTCAAATCATATTGAAAAGCTTGTGTAGTTGAATATTACAATTATCCTAATTAATAT